TCCCCTTGTTCGTTGCTTTTTATCTTTTTACCTCTCTTGTATGCTTGAATAGTCAAAACAACACATGCTTTCATGGAGATAGAATTAGAATTCCATCTTACCTATTAGAAAAACGTTCACCCACCAAATTTCGTACAAAATTTCCCTCGCTTAACCTTCCATCAAGCCAAGATTCTGTTTCGACAAATCTCATTGATCAAAGCTTATCAGCGATAGATCTAAACCATTTGACCTTCATTTGATCGTTCATACTCTACCACCTTGTTCAAAGTCCCGAAAGACTTGTACGTTAAATTTCATAGCCTAGCACACCCGTTTGACCGTTAAACTAGGAAGATTCTATTTTGATGTGCCATATCGTGACATCTGTTGTCCCAACTTGAGACCTCAAGAGGGTGTGGGCTAATATCAACCCCTTACTTGACTTGCCAAAATTCCTGGACTAATGAAATTAAGCCAAGTAGACTTAAAAAGCCCCAAAACCCAAAGATATCTTTACTTAAAGTCAAGAAAAAACAAAATGTCATTTATGGTTAAGTTAAATTTACCTTTTATGCCACTGATAGCCCCAATTATGAGACTACAACGACAAACACACCTCAAGCTTCCATTGGACACACAAAACCCATGAAAATCAACCCCAAATTGAGGAAAATCTTTCACAAAAATGGAAAAGTTGATTGAATACCTCTTTTTTTGAAAATCTTTGCCTAGTTTCTTGAAATAATTGTCTTGAAGCCTAGGTTCTCTGATTGGGCAATTTCAAACATGTCCTCGTCCGTTTCTTTATAAATAAACACCCAAATCAAGCTTTAATTCAGATCTATTAGGGTTAATCAATCGTATCAAACCAACCAAAAAATAGAGTATTTTTATTAAACTGATATGAATGGACAAGATTGTCTTTACAGAGAAAATAAAAGAGCTATACACTAATGTACACACCTATTAAAGTACAAGAAAGAAGAATAAAGATACAATAAAATTACAAAACTACTCTTTATCTTCTCTACACTCCCCCTTAAATTGATGTTGGGGTATAAGCACTAGTTTGTCTACAAGAAAATTATGTCGGGCTTTGGGCATAGCTTTGGTGAAGAGATTTGCAAACTGTAGGCCCAATGAAACATGTGGGAGAGAGATATGACCCGCGTGCAGAAGGTCGAATAAAGTGGCAATCCACCTTAATATGTTTAGTGCGGTCATCAAATACAAGATTAGATGCAATCTTGATTGCACTCATGTTATCAACAAATTGAGGAATAGCAGATGAGTGATCAATGTCCATGCCATGAAGTAGAGCCTTAAGTCAGACTATTTCACTAGATACTGAGGGCATGACTCTATACTCTACTTTAGTAGATGACTTGAAAATAGTTTGTTATTTCTTACATTTCCAAGAAATCAGAGAATCACCAAGGAATATACAACAGCATGTAGTTGAGAGACAAGTGTCAGAACATCTTGCCCAATCAGAATCTGCATAAGCTCAAAGCTGAGTGGAGGAAGAAGATGAGAAAAATAATCCATGTGATAGAGTGCCATTGACATAACGAATAATCTGGAGACCTATAGAGAAGTGGGGCTGACGTGGAGCGGATACAAACTGATTCACAAGATGGACTGCATAGGAAATGTTTGGTCTAGTCATAGTTAGGTAAATAAGACTACCTACAAGTTGTTGATATAAAGTAGCATCAGGGAGAAATTTACCCTCATCCTAACTTAGCTTACTATTAAGCTCCAGAGGTGTATCCACTTGTTTAAAATCAGTYAAGCGAGCAAGAGTCATCAAATCAAAGGCATATTTCTATTGGTTGATAAAATAACCTTGATGACATCGTTAAATTTCAAGCCCTAGAAAATAGGTGACTGGCCCAAGATCTTTCATTTTGAAGGAGTTACTGAGAAGAAGTTTCAAGTTGTTAATGTCATCCACATCATCTCCTGTGATAAGGATATCATCAACATATACTAAAAGAAGAGTCAACCCTTGAGCTCGCTTGAGGTAAAAAGAAAGTAATTTGAAGCACTTTGTTGAAAAACTACGTGTACTTAAACAGGGCAAGGCACCTAATTAATAAATACTAGTAAATACTGTTTAATACTCGTAATTAAAATACTATTAATTAATTAATTAGAGTATTTATTTAATTATTTTAATATTGTTTTATCATGTTGGGTTCAAAACGAATATTTATTTAATAAATATCATATATTTATTTTATTAATAGTATTTAATTAACGGTATTTTGATATAATTAATTAGTAATTCATTAATTATTGTTAATTAATTAAGAATGTTTATTAATTAATAGTATGTAGTAATCGATATATTATTAATTAATAGTATTTAATTAACAATATTTATTAATTACTGTTAATATTGTTACTAATTAATTATAGGATTTTTATTTTATAAATATTGTAATTTTATTTAATAAATATCTTATTTTCATTGTTAAAATATTGTTAACTATGGTGTTTATTAATTATAATACTTATGAATACTATATTTAATAAAATACAATATCTAATAAAATACACTATTTAATAAAATATTGTTATTAATAAAATATTGCTATTAATAAATACTACTAATTAAAATAATGTTAAATACTACTAATTAACAATAAATAATGATTATTAAATAATAATAAATACTGCTAATCAATATTAAATACTATTAAGTAATAGGCATTGCTAATTAACAAATATCGTAATTAATGAATTATCATTAAACAAATAAATTAAATTAATTAAAATATTATTAACTAATGAATTAATAAATACTATTACTGAGTTAGATATAGATTGGATATGGATCGGATATGGGCCGGTCCATATCTATAATGTTTGCTCGACAATAGAGGTAAAAATGATTTTTCAACAACTTCGGTTGGTTTTAACGGAAGCAGATAGTGGTATGTAAAGTTGACACAAACACCACACATTCAAAAGTCTTATTAATAATGCATTTAACGAACCAAAAAATAATAAAAAAAAGAATAAAGCATATTGACTTGAATATCATCAATGAACTTGGGATTCAATTATTTTAATTGAAAATCTTTAATCAAGTTAATTGCTTAAGAAGCCTTTGGGAACACCAAGATGAGAGAAAAACACTCAAAGAGATTTTTGGAAAACGAGGCAATGATTTGAACAAAAGAGTTCAGAAGAACCAAAATATATTAGCAAAGCAAAGGATATGATGTGATGTCAAAGCCACGAGAATAGTTGAGAATGTATTAAAAGGTCAAAATGTCTCCTCAAATTGTGAAATATGGGGGATGGTAAGGAGGAAAGCCTAGAGATTCATGGGCAAAAAGTGCCTTTGACGGGTGATGAGAATGAAAAATATCATATTGTTCTCCCTTAATATTTAGTTTTTTATACTTATTTGATGCCCATATGCACTCATTATTCTTATATTTTGATTTATGGCACAAATTGAGGCGTTAAGTTAAAAACAAGGCTAATTGGGTAATTCTGGACAATTTCGGCACCACGAAGTAATTTGAGCATAACTCTTTAATCCGAACTCCGATTGAGATGATTCAAGATGTGTTAGAATGATGAGGAAACGTTCTACAACTTTCATGTTTTGAGTTTTGATAGATACTGACAGCATCGAGGTCGCAATCGGGCCCAAAATAGCTGCAACCGCATTGCTGACGTACTGAAAACATTCCTTAGCCTACAAGTTTTCATATGTGAAATCATCACTCTCCCACTTACATTAGAACATTCTTTTATCTTATCTTTGATATTTTTCTTGATAAGTCAACTTGGAGATTGTTATCTTGAGAGAAATTTTAGGAGATTTTGTATGCTTCTCTTGGGGGGAGTAGAGAGAAATAAAAGAAGTGGAAAAACAAGAAGGAAGAAAATCAGACCTAGGGCTGCCGCACCTCTCTTCTCTTCTCTTCTCTCTTCTTTGATTTTTCTTGAGTTTTCACCATGACCATGTGTGGCTAAATTCTAATACTTGGTTGAAGGAAACAAAAGCCTCAGAATCAACAAAACTGTGAGATCTAATTTGATTTTTATTGTTTGATTTATGTTTTGAATATCGAATGTTCTTCTATGTTCATGTTCATGTTTATGATTGTTTCGTCAGATTGCTAGGAGGCCTACTAGTTTATTATTTATTGCAATCTACTGTTAGGTTACATATCAAATCCGTAATTGTTTGATCCCTTTAATCTGCGAAGCAAAATAGGGTTTAATGATTTGCTACGTCAAAAATTGTTAGATCTTAGGAAGAACACTCGACTGAATTAAATGCAACCGCTTGTGCTTGTGTTGTTTAGCTTCATCGATCTCTAATGCTTAAGGCTACTATTGGATTTAATCTTTAACGCTTGTTTAGGGATTGTTCAGTAGTAAGGGTTAAGAGGATCGTTTGTTTTCCGATTAACTGAGATTAGGGAGATGCAGGAAAATAATTCATACGATAAATATTCAAAGTCTGAATTGATTTATCTTTGCATCGATGAGTAGTAGTGAAATTTTGATGGTGGATGTTGACTTAGACCATTCTTTTGATTAATTTCAGTATGCTGAGTTGCATTGTTTCTCATTTGATTTTCGTTCTTTTTAATTCTGATTTTCTTTCTTTTTAATTCTGGTTTGTTACATACACCCCCCTCTATCTTTGTTCACACAACACATAAACTAGGTTAGATACTCTCTGTGGGAACGATCTTTACTCGCACTACTGCATTTGTTTTAGGAGTATAGGTTTTATTTTTGGGTGCCTATGACAACATGCCAAATTTTGGCGCCGTTGCCAGGGAGTTTTTCTAATCGGTTTTTGTGCTTAT